CACCTGTAAATCTTAAGAGTGCAATCATCCACACAGTTCCGAGCCTGCGGGGATAACTTCTGGATGTTACCCACATTTTCCGCAGTACCCTTGTTCAGGGCGCCCTCAGCTCAGGGGAGATTCGTGACTACTTCAAATATTCGATTACTGAAATAATATTTAAGGAGATATATCAGATATTTTTACCAAATGGGGTAAAATATTCCAGTGGCGTCCAAGGTATAATAGTTCCGTGCGAAACGATTTCTGCTGTGTTATGATGTTTAGTTTTGGTAAAGTGACGTTTTTGATTAACGTAACAAAAGCCCCGAGTATTAGAAATAAGTTGACTGAATAAACCAACAGACGCTACCCATCAATCCTGCTATAGGTACTGCTCGCGCATCACTCATTCCCTCCTACATTCCCTCCTACATTCCCTCCTATATTCCCTCCTACATTCCCTCCTACATTCCCTCCTTGGGTACAGGTTCCGGGTATTGCTGCTCTACAACCCTGACATCAGATTATAAAATAGGGTGTGATTCCGTCGTGTTTATAGCTCTATAACGCTTCGCTCGTTGGAGCAAGGCTACGATCCAGTGACGGGAGATTACTTTATCATCACTGTGGGAGATTATTGGCCCGTGTCAAACGCTCGCCCACCAAAATACAGAGAATATCGCCGTTTGCTCTCGCATACGTTAACTGTATGTACTGATTGCCGGTGACGTGACACATCTCCAACCCTGAGTGCTGCATGCAGTTGTTGCAAGTAATTAACCGTACCATCACACTTGTGGTCACAGGAGCAAGTGATGATCATAACAGATGTTGTTTTTCCAACTGGATTTTGAGCTGTAGTAATGTCTTGACATTTGCGGCTTCGGCGGGCAGGGGATTCCATAGGTTAATAACCCCATGGGTGAAAAATTATTTGCCGTTTTCTGTCCTACATTGTGCCTTGTTGAGCTTGAAGCCAAGGTGCAACACTTTGTATGCGTAGCATATGACCTTTTATAAATGTGGTTGGACCAATATCCAATGTGCCATGTTATGTAGCTCTCAGCCTTTCCTGGGTATGAGAGTCGACTTAGTTCTGTGAGGATTTTTGTGCACTACGTTGTACTTTCTCCAAGACAATGTGTGAAGGTGAGGTCTCCTTATAGTCCACCTGGCGGCTCACCAGGAATTTGCTCAGTTGATCACCACCTTGTTTGTCTTGAAATTAGATTCATTTGACTATTCCTAAGGTTTGGTTGGCATTTTTACCGCATTTCAAATTTGTGCCTGGATCAGTGCAATATTATTAATAATTCAGTGATGATAATACGATAAATAAGTATAGAGTAAGGAACAAGAGAAGGGGGTGAGGAAGATAGAGGAGGAAGAGCAGTAATAATGACCAACACGAGGAAGGCCAAGAGGGGCGGCAGTGGTGTGTTGTGGTGGACACCTCTTGTGCTCCATATAGCTAGATCCGCCCCGTTTACTCTGAATTATTTGAGGTTACTTACTCTGAAGTGGGGTTACTGTGTGTGTGTGTGTGTGTGTGTGTGTGTGTGTGTGAGAGAGAGAGAGAGAGAGAGACCGAGATGGACTCGCCTAAATGTTCATCAGAGGTCGAACACCAGATCCCACGCCCCGTCTTTCTAACTCCTCATGTAATTCAGTGACATTTCTCGCCGCACTTTTTTGTTTACGCCGTACCGAACGTACACTGGAGGAGTGGTGGTTCCCGACACTCTCTGGTTCGTCAGTCTCTCCAGCCTACAGCCCGGTCCTCTGGTCCAACCGTTCCTCCTTTAAAACATTACATTTCTGTCCTCTCTGTCGGTTTCCGTTTCTCCTCTTCTACGTTGTGAAGTCGAATCTGCATGGCTTTCTTTGGTTTTAATTTGTGATTCTTTGGGGACGAACCACATTCACTCCAAAAAATCTACCACTTACGGGCTACTCATGCCCGTGCCACCTCTTGTGGTGGCTTAATCTTTATCAATCAATGGCGAAGGTGCTACTTTCCATTCACCCGAGGTCTTGGAGACTCGAACCGTGGACCCCAGGCTTGTGAAGCCCAAGCTTCATCGACCGAGTTATAGAATGTTTATTTTCACGGAAGTGTGGCTGACAATTTTAAGGTGCTGGTGTTACACAACACCTCTGCACCCACCATCCCACCGGGGGTTGAGTCTCTGCTTCTACTGACGGCAGTACTGGCCGTTCTATTCTGCTGTAACCGCAGGTGGTTCTGCTGCAGCTTGTGTTACTGTTACATCTGATGCTACTAGTGCTGCTGCTGCTGCTGCAGTTGATGCTATTGTAGTTGCTACTATTATTGCTGATTTTACGACCGTTGTTGTTGTTACCGTTGCTGCTGCTGCTACCGTTGCTGTTGTTACCGTTACTGCTGCTATAAATATTATTACTACTGCAGCTTTTACAAAAGCTAATACATTCTCCTTACACGTCGTCCTCCTCCTTCCCCTCCCCCCCCCCCTCCCTGGTGTGCGGGAGAGGGCGTGGCGGCTGTGTGGTGTTGTCCTGCTCGCCTCCCTTGAGCAAACACCGCGCAAGATTTATGTGTAAACGAACCCTCCTTATCATCCTTGGCTCGTGAAGCACACACACACACACGCGCGTGCAACGCTCGCACGCTCGCAAGCACAGACCACCCTGCCCGGACGTGCAACGCTCGCACGCACATAGGTCAATTTACACGTTCGCACACTGTCGGTGTGTCGTAGCGACAGGAAATGTCAGCATGCAGGGAAGTAGGAAAGCGAGTCTTGCTTGTCCTCCTCTATGGATGACCGGCCTGAATACATAAGTTCCTTGGTTAATATTTGCGTGATGTGTGAGGAGTAAGGATGAGGAGAGTGATGGCTAGTACGAGACGACCTAAACTTGCAGGGTTTAGCAGATAAATGGCTTCTGGAGTTCAATCCCAACAGACGCAATGTAGTGCAAATGTGGAGATAAGAGAGAGCAGAACAGACACACACAAGGAACGTGATAACTAGAAGACGGGAGTGGAGAGCTACATCTCGCTTCCAGTAACTACAGGAAGGTAACCGCTCAAACATGCTGACAATACTGCTGCTGCTACTGCTGCTGCTGCTGCTACTGCTGCTACTGTTCCTACTGCTGTGCTGCTGTGCTGATACTGCTACTGCTGCTGTGCTGCTGCTACTACTGCTGCTGCTACGGTTCCTACTGCTGTGCTGCTGTGCTGATACTGCTACTGCTGCTCAGGCAGTGTGCGGGGGAACAGCCATCGATGCACACTACGTTTAGAGATGATTTGTCATAAACTTGCCGGTCTGGCTCCCAGGAGGCCAACGGCACGGTGCTCCCCCAGCCACCCAGGAGATCCCCCCCAGCCTCCCAGGAGATCCCCCAGCCACCCAGGAGATCCCCCAGCCTCCCAGGAGATCCCCACAGCCACCCAGGACATCCACCAGCCACCCAGGAGATCCCTCAGCCTCCCAGGAGATCCCCCAGCCTCCCAGGAGATCCCCCAGCCACCCAAGAGATCCCCCAGCCTCCCAGGAGATCCCCCAGCCTCCCAGGAGATCCCCCAGCCTCCCAGGAGATCCCCAGCCACCCAAGAGATCCCCCAGCCTCCCAGGAGATCCCCCCCAGCCACCCAGGACATCCACCAGCCACCCAGGAGATCCCCCCAGCCTCCCAGGAGATCCCCCAGCCACCCAGGAGATCCCCCAGCCATCCAGGAGATCCCCCAGCCACCCAGGAGATCCCCCAGCCACCCAGGAGATCCTCCAGCCACCCAGAAGATCCCCCAGCCACCCAGGAGATCCCTCCTAGCCACCCAGGAGATCCACCAGCCACCCAGGAGATCCCCCAGCCTCCCAGGAGATCCACCAGCCACCCAGGAGATCCCCCAGTCACCCAGAAGATCCCCCAGCCACCCAGGAGATCCCCCCAGCCACCCAGAAGATCCCCCAGCCACCCAGGAGATCCCCCAGCCACCCAGGAGATCCCCCAGCCACCCAGGAGATCCCCCAGCCACCCAGGAGATCCCCCCGCCACCCCGGAGATCCCCCAGCCACCCAGGAGATCCCTCCTAGCCACCCAGGAGATCCACCAGCCACCCAGGAGATCCCCCAGCCTCCAGGAGATCCACCAGCCACCCAGGAGATCCCCCAGCCACCCAGAAGATCCCCCAGCCACCCAGGAGATCCCCCAGCCACCCAGGAGATCCCCCAGCCACCCAGGAGATCCCCCAGCCACCCAGGAGATCCCCCAGCCTCCCAGAAGATCCACCAGCCACCCAGGAGATCCCCCAGCCACCCAGGAGATCCCCCAGCCACCCAGGAGATCCCCCAGCCACCCAGGAGATCCCCCAGCCACCCAGGAGATCCCCCAGCCTCCCAGAAGATCCACCAGCCACCCAGGAGATCCCCCAGCCACCCAGGAGATCCCCTAGCCACCCAGGAGATCCCCCAGCCACCAAGGAGATCCCCCAGCCACCCAGGAGATCCCCCAGCCACCCAGGAGATCCCCCAGCCACCAAGGAGATCCCCCAGCCACCCAGGAGATCCCCCAGCCTCCCAGAAGATCCACCAGCTACCCAGGAGATCCCCCAGCCACCCAGGAGATCCCCCAGCCACCCAGGAGATCCCCCCAGCCACCCAGGAGATCCCCCCAGCCACCCAGGAGATCCCCCAGCCACCTAGATGGTCTACCAGCCACCTAGATGGTCTACCAGCCACCTAAATGGTCTACCAGCCACCCAGTTTGTGAGTGGTATGTTATATGTCTTTGAACTTGGTATAGTTTTATTTTGATAATGAAGTCTGAGATTGGCGGGCGGGGCAGCACATCTGAGTGTTGACCCTGCATGGGTTGTGTGTAGTGTTTGGTCGGTCTCCCTATCTAGGTACCTGAAACCTATTAGGGCAGAAAAACAGAGGGATGGGAGGGAACTAGACCCTTATAACCCCACTGAGGCAATTGGTCTCTTGTGTCAATACATGGTCTAATTGGCTGACGGTGGGACAATGCCTGTCTTCATTTGTCTTCGTGTCAGTAACCTTGTTATTGATCCCTTGCACACGCCCACCCCCTGCACACGCCCACCCCCTGCACACGCCCACCTCCCTGCACACGCCCACCTCCCTGCACACGCCCACCTCCCTGCACACGCCCACCTCCCTGCACACGCCCACCCCCTGCACACGCCCACCTCCCTGCACACGCCCACCTCCCTGCACACGCCCACCCCCTGCACACGCCCACCCCCTGCACACGCCCACCCCCTGCACACGCCCACCCCCTGCACACGCCCACCCCCTGCACACGCCACCCCCCTGCACATGCCCACCCCCTGCACACGCCCACCCCCTGCACACGCTCACCCCCTGCACACGCCCACCCCCTGCACACGCCCACCTCCCTGCACACGCCCACCCCCTGCACACGCCCACCCCCTGCACACGCCCACCCCCTGCACACGCCCACCCCCTGCACACGCCCACCCCCTGCACATGCCCACCCCCTGCACACGCCCACCCCCTGCACATGCCCACCCCCTGCACACGCCCACCCCCTGCACACGCCCACCCCCTGCACACGCCCACCCCTTGCACACGCCCACCTCCCTGCACACGCCCACCTCCCTGCACACGCCCACCTCCCTGCACCCTGCACACGCCCCCCCCCTGCACACGCCCACCCCCTGCACACGCCCACCCCCTGCACACGCCCACCCCCTGCACACGCCCACCTCCCTGCACACGCCCACCTCCCTGCACACGCCCACCTCCCTGCACACGCCCACCTCCCTGCACACGCCACCCCCCCTGCACACGCCCACCCCCTGCACACGCCCACCCCCGGCACACGCCCACCCCCTGCACACGCCCACCCCCGGCACACGCCCACCCCCTGCACACGCCCACCCCCGGCACACGCCCACCCCCCTGCACATATTATTTGCTGGAATTTTTTATTCACTTGAAAAGGATGGAGCTATTACCACAGCAGCTGCCCAGCGGCCACAGTAGGTGAACGGCGGCCACAGCAGGTGAACGGTGGCCACATGGCGGCCACAGCAGGTGAACGGTGGCCACAGGAGGGCCACAGCAGGTGAACGGTGGCCACATGGCGGCCACAGCAGGTGAACGGTGCTCACAGGGCGGCCACAGCAGGTGAACGGTGGCCACATGGCGGCCACAGCAGGTGAACGGTGCTCACAGAGCGGCCACAGCAGGTGAACGGTGGCCACAGGAGGGCCACAGCAGGTGAACGGCGGCCACATGGCGGCCACAGCAGGTGAACAGTGGCCACATGGTGGCCACAGCAGGTGAACGGTGGCCACATGGCGGCCACAGCAGGTGAACGGTGGCCACAGGAGGGCCACAGCAGGTGAACGGTGGCCACATGGCGGCCACAGCAGGTGAACGGTGGCCACAGGGCGGCCACAGCAGGTGAACGGTGCTCACAGAGCGGCCACAGGAGGGCCACAGCAGGTGAACGGCGGCCACAGGGCGGCCACAGCAGGTACCAATTACCGTAACATATCAAGCGAGATAACTGATTGCCGGAAAGACTAGTGACGAGTAAGACGTATGTATGGTGTTGACGTAACATAAGTGATTGTCTCAGTGTAAGACGAGTATACTTGTACTACTAGGCAGTGGCAGCAGCAGCAGCAGCAATAGTAGCAGCAGCAACAGTAGCAGCAGCAGCAGTAACAGCAGCAGTAACAGCAGCAACAGCAGCAGCAGCAACAGTAACAGCAACAGCAGCATCAGCAGCAGCAGCAGCTACAGCAGCAACAGCAGCAGCAGCAACAGCAACAGCAGCAGCCTGTTTAACTATGGCCACGAGGCTGTGGATCTGGGACTGCTACCTGTCTGTTGTATCTGTTGCGTTAGCATTAACGCAACAGAATTAAGAATTGCGTTAGAATTAACTGGTTTTCGAACTCTTTATCGAATCTGGCCTTAAAGTTGTGGGTGGAGGTGGCTTCCACAACTTCTTCTCTCAGTGTGTTCCACGTGCTGACCTCCCGCAGAGGGTACGAGAATTTCCTTACATTTATTTAACTCGTTTGCGTTTCCAGCTTCCAGTAATTGCTTCTTATCATACTTTATCTCACATTAAAGAGGCTGTTCTTTTTCCATCTTGTCTATTCCCTTCAATATCTTGTATGTTACGATCATATTCTCTCTCTTCTTCCCTCCATGGTTGTGAGGTCCAGTTCCTTTAAATGATTCTTATTGCTTAGCCCTCTTAGCTTCGGCACTAATTTTGCTGCAAACTGGTTTACGTTTTAAATTTTGGTTTCATGCGTCACACGGTACGAATATCAGGCCGGTGTTGCATATGTTGCATAGGTGTTAATCTAACAAAGGCTGTGAAGTCTAACAAAGACTCCTTGAAGGAGTCCTGATTTAGGCTTCCAAGTGATGATCTTATATATGCCAACTTCCCATATGCTGCTGATGGTGCCCTGTTTGTGTGTGTGCCGCTGGAGTGTGTTGCAGTTATATTCACTCCCAAATGGTTTTTCTCTCCTACTGCTTTAATTACCTTTCCCTTATAGTGTCGATACCTCCTGGTCTCCTCTGTCCCTTTCCCATTTTCATTACCTTGTTGGGATTGAATTTGAGCAATCTTTTGTTTGTCCACTCCTGAAGTTTGTCAAGGTCGTCTTGTAACTTTTTGCAGTCCTCGCTTTTTATATTATTTATTAGCTTTGTGTCGTCCGCAAACATTGGCAAGTTCGAGCTCACTCCCTCGGGAAGTTCATTTATATAAATAAAGAACAATAGGGGTCCCAGGACCAACACTTGAGATACTCCACTTGTTACATTCCTCCACCTCGAAACATCATCTCTGACTGAATCTGTTTTCTGTCCTTCAAGCAGGTCTTTACTCGAGTGTCTTTCCCAGCTTGCTTCTCCCTTTTAAACACCAGACTTCCACGAAAAACAGCATCGTAGGCTTTTTTTCACAATTTAAGAAAATACAGTCTACCCAGCCTTCCTTTTTTTGTCTTATTTTAGTGAATTTGCCACAAAACTTAAGTTTGTCAGGCACGACTTCCCCCTTCCAGATCCTTGCTGCCGATTTGTTGCAATTCTTATCCTCACCAGGTATTCAGTTACTCTCAGCCTGAGTACTATTTCCAGCACTTTACATGAAATACTTGTCACTAACAGTAGTCTGAAATTTAGTGCCTCCTGCCTTACCCTTTCTTTAATATTGGGAATACGTTCGCCTTTTCCCAGAATTTTGAAGTGTTTCCAGTCTCAAATATTTTATTTACAATTTCACTTTACAGGTGACAAAGCACCTTTGGAGCCTCATACAACAGCCAGGGTGATATTAAGTCTGGTCTTCTTGATTTTGTTGCAAATTGTTCCTGGCGTTTCTAACCCACTATTGTATCTTCCAGTGTTACTTCCGGCTTTCATCTCTCAACTCCGGTCTCCACGTTGATGATCTTGTAGCGCTCTCCTGAAATATTTTGAGGTGAGGGTTGTGTGGGTCAGGAGGTGAGGGTGCTGTATTTACCTGGTTGTATTTGTAGGGGATGAACCACGGCTTTTGGGTTCCGCCTCTCAATCCTTAATCTGTGTATCTATGTATTTACGTATGTAGCTTAGCCTAGCATTTTAAAAGCACTACAATCACCTGTTGCAACCCGTTCTCGCAAATTTAATAAGTCAATATTGACTTATTAACTACGTGCATAGGTGATATACTAAACATAATAGATACCCCTAAAAAGATTCATAGAAAACACCGACCTTACCTAACCTTGTTAGTATCTTAAGATAAGCATCTTATTGCTTCGTAATTACAATTATTACTTAACCTATACCTATTATAGGTTAGGTAATAATTGTAATTACGAAGCAATAAGATGCTTATCTTAAGATACTAACAAGGTTAGGTAAGGTCGGTGTTTTCTATGAATCTTTTTAGGGGTATCTATTATGTTAAGTATGTCACCTATGCACATATTTAATAAGTCAATATTGACTTATTAAATTTGCGAGAACGGGTTGAGTGGTTGATTGTTCAATAAATCCCTGAACTATATGTTTAACATATCTCTAACCCTGTCCATGGAGGACAGAAGAAAATGTATATATGCTGCTTAGCATTGTTAATGTGTGGCCTGTGGTAGAAAATAATAATAATAAAAAAATCCTTAATCGACTGGTGTATAGACTCCAGAGCAGGTTGGGCTCTGTTATATCTACATTTAAAGCTGTGTATGGAGTCTGCCTCCATAAGTTCACTTCTTCTAGAATTTCCATTGTTCACTCTTTTGACAATAAAATTGTTTTCTTTCTAATATCTGCTTTTGAACTGGATCTGAATGTGTGGATTATCCACTCGCGTGTTCTCGATGATGTACTCATAATCCATCCAAGGTTGGCCAGTGACTACATGCTCTAAAATGACAAACTATGTACATATAAAAACATTTCCACAGTAGTATCACGCATGCATCCAGGATAGCTGGTAGTTACCTTAAGGACGTTACATGGGTTTATTGAGAGTAAGCGTTTTGGCTAAATTCATTTATCAAGAAATGAACTATAATTTGGAGAAAAAGAAAATGGTTACACGACTTTTATTGTAGGTGACGTTACGTCACGCCTGAGGTCACGTGACAATCACCGGTCATGAGCATGATAGACGAGCATGTTGTATAGGCTCGTCACGGTGCAGCCTGACATAATACAGTATTAGTAGTGTCCTCAGTATAGTGAGAGTCGTGCATGCTACAGCAACGCTCACCCTGTCACGGTGCAACTGCCATAGTGCCATGTTATTGCTCGAGTTACACCTGTACCGTACAGCCTATAGTATAAGGAGACAATATATGTTATGTTCACGTAAGACTTACAATAAGAGCGGAGACACTTGAGTGCAACAGGTGTTGAGTGTTCCCCGCCTCGTCTCACCACCGTCACACACCCTCATTATATACTGCTGGAGATAATGAGGGTGTGATTCTCCGTCGAGTGCGTTACGGGAGCGTTACAGAGACCGTCTCCAGCAGTGTTCGGATATTCTTTATTTTAAACCATCAATAGACCAGCGATTGTTGCTAATACACAAACACACATTTGTATATTATTTGTTTTAGTAAAAAAAAAAATTAACATATGAAACGTTAGTGTGGAGTAACGGATAGCTCTCTCATCCTGAAGCCTCACAAGATATCCTCCTGGGTTCGAGGCCCGAGTACGGAGGGACAGCTGGGCACAGGAAGATTGCCCCCACATTCCTCTCGCATCTTCTCACTAAACAAGTAAATCTGTGTATCTATGTATTTACGTATGTAGGTTAGCTTAGCACTTTAAAAGCACCGAATCACCGTCTGTGGTTGAGTGTTCAATAAACCCTTGAACTATATGTTTAACACTTCTCTAGCCCTGTCCATGGAGGACAGAAGAAAATGTATATATGCTGGTTAGCATTGTAAATGTGTGGCCACGTCTGTGGTAGAAAAAAAAAAACCTGCTATAATATTCCCTCAAGACCGCCGGAAACCAAGTCTTAAAAATCTTAAAACAAAGAACTTTCCAGCCCAAGAACGAACCATTCTGAGGGTATATCTTGAGATGGTTATCTTGAGATGATTTCGGGGCTTTAGTGTCCCCGCGGCCCGGTCCTCGACCAGGCCTCCACCCCCAGGAAGCAGCCCGTGACAGCTGACTAACACCCAGGTACCTATTTTACTGCTAGGTAACAGGAGCATAGGGTGAAAGAAACTCTGCCCAATGTTTCTCGCCGGCGCCTGGGATCGAACCCATGACCACAGGATCATAAGCCCAGCGTGCTGTCCGCTCGGCTGACCGGCTCCCCTAGTAGGGTAACTAGCAAGGTACATATAAACATGTTTTATAGGAAGGTAGTGCCCTGAGCAGGTCAACACGAGTCGCAAGTCATCTTCTCATCTACTCCTCTGTGAATTTTTTTTTAACCTGCCTATCACTGACTTCCCAACTTATCTGAGTCCCTCCACACTAGGACA